CAAGCCGGTGGTCATCGGCGGGGTGGAAAGGGAGGCCATTCCCCGATCGCACCCGTGCATGGCGTCAGAGATCGACGCCCGCCGCGATCGCTTCCAGCTTACGGATACGTTCCTTCAGGTCGGCCATCTCGATCCGCGACGAAGCGGAGGGCGCGGCTCCATAAGGCATGTCGTGCACCCGATCGAACTCACGGCTCTTGAGCTGCAGCCAGCCGCGCCATCCGGCCAGCCCGGCGGTCACGATCATGGCGAGGCCCGCAAGCGGCGGTGGCGAGGACGATATAGAGATTGGTATCGGTCATGATCCCGGTCCCTTCGGCTTAACGGTCGCAGGCGCTCGATCTCGCGGTCGAGATCGATGCTCTTGTGCTGGTCGGTGATGACGCGCCGAGCACCGGATGCGGTCCTTGAGCTGCTGGACCTCGGCACGCAGCGCCCGGCATCGCGGGCGCCTTCGCCACGCAGATGCTCGACGATGTCGAGGCCGGGCGAGCGGCGATGCTTGGCCTTGAAGATGCTGGCGATCCGCGACGATCGCGACGATCATAACGACCATGAACTGTCCGCCGGACATAGCGGTAACTCCCCTCTAAAATCTTTTTGTCAGTGTTCGATGCGGGTGGGCGCCGCGTCGAAGGCGCGAAGCCCGTCGATCTGTCGCTGAGCGCCGTGCCGCGATCGGTGATGATCCGCTCCAGCACACGGACCCGCCGTTCCAGTCGTTCGGTCTGCGCCGCATATTGCGCCGCCTTTTTCCGCGACCATCGAGGCTTCGGTGGCCAGCCGTTTTTTCGCGGTAGGCGAACCAGGGCTTGATGACGACGCCGCCGATGATCGCAACCATGCCGCAGCTGATGCCGAAGAGCGGGATCAGGATAGCGAAATCATGCATCGCTTCTCTCCTCAGCGATCACGCAAGCTGTCGATTTCGCGGGCGGTCCGCTCGGCGGGGTCGGTGGCGATCCGTTCCGGACGGCGATCCGCTCTTCCAACCGGCTGACTTGGCCGACCAGCTTCTGGTTCTCGGTGGTAGGCAGCTCGACCTTTGCGGCTCGCCTGTGTCGCCCTTGTGGCCTGGCGCCGCCCCATTCATTTTCCAGGCTATAGCCGTGCTTCGCACGGATCCGTGTGGTGACCACCCACGCGATCATCGAGATCGAGATGATCGCCGTGACGAAACCGGGTCCTCCCGAAGACATAATCCATACTCCCATAGGATAGTTGATACGTGGCCCCGGCGATCAGCGCAGGCTGTCGATCTCGTCAGCCAACTGGCGGTTGCGGCTGGTGTAATGCAGCTCGATATCGGCGAGGCGACGGTCGAGATCGCGGAACTTCGAGCGCACCTCGGCGGTCGAGCGGCGCGGATTGCCGCGCACGCCCTGCCAGAATTTGGCGTCGTCGTCCGACTGGTAGAGACCGATCGGCTTGGGTGTCGCCATCCGGGCGATCAGCATATAGGGCGATCGGGACCCAAGGCATGCCAACCCCGGTCAGGGTCAGCAGGACCGCAGCGATGCGGACCCACATCACGTCCACGCCGGCATAGTCGGCGATGCCCGAGCACACGCCCTTGAACTTGGCATTCTGCTTGTCGAGGTAGAAGCTGGTGCGGCTGGCGGTCATGTCAGTTCCTCCGGTCGAGGCTGTAGTCGGTTTGGCCGAGGCGCGGTTCGGGGCGCCATTCGGACTGCGACAGGCCGGGCTTGAAGTTGGGATTGTCGGCGGCGATGATCCGCTCGACGGTATTCACCCGATCCTCCAGGCGGCGCGCGCGAGCATGTGGAGTTCGTCCAGCAGTTGCTCGTCTTCATGGGTGATCTTGGGTGCCTGCTTCCACTTTGTGACATAGTGCAGATCGCCGTGGCAGCGCGATGAACAGCGTGGTGATCGCGATGTGCGGGTGATGATGTCCTCCATCTCACTCTCCCCTTGTTCAGGCGCGCCCTTGAGCGCGGCGAGTTCGGCATCGACCCGATCGGAAGCACGCAGCTCGGCGATCTCGTCCTCCAGCGTCTTGGGGTTCGCGCCCTGTGCCCAGCGCGCGCTTCCGCGCGCGCCCTCGGCCTCGTCCACCTTGCGCTCCAGCACGTCGAAGCGGCTGAACGCGTCGTGCGTCTTGGGGCCGTTCCACATCTCGCGCAGGCGATAGCGGTTGTTGGCGCTTTCCAGACGGGTCTGACCGCATTCTGCTTGGTCCGCGCCTCGCGCAGCTTGTTCTGCAGCTTGGCGATGTCCTCTTCCGACGCGCGCAGCGCATCGTCGAGCACCTGAACCTCCGCCTTCAGCTGGTCGGCCATGTCGGCGGCCTTCTGACGCTCGATCAGCGCGGCCTTGGCGAGATCCTCGCGGTCCTTCGACAGCGCCAGCTCGGCCTTTTTCGGTCCAGCTGTCCTGAAGCTGATCCAGCTTCGGCGATGTGGCGGCGGATTTCCTCTGGTCAGCGATCGTGCGGGCGGCAGAGGCGCGCACCTCGACAAGCGTCTCCTCCATTTCGAGGATGATCATGCGGATCATCTTTCGCGGGATCTTCCGCCTTATCCAGCAAATCGGCGAAATTGGCGGCGACGATGTCGCGGGTGCGGGAGAAAATGCCCATCGGATACCCTTGATGGCGAAATGCGTGATTATGCGATCGGCGCCTCGATCGTGGCAACCGGTGCCGTGGTGGTGGCGACATGCGCGGGGGCGAGGGCGCCCAGCAGGCAGGTGGCGCTCATCACGATGGTGCAGGCGATGGCGGCGATCTGGCGGGTGACGGTGGTGGCGAACATGGTGAAAACTCCCTGATTGTCTGTCTCGGTCCGCTCGGTGGCGGGATGCCAGATGCATTGCAGGGGCGTGCCACCCGGAAAATGACGGAAATCCGCGCTTTGCAAAAAAAATAGTTGCGCTGGCCGAACGATTGCACTTTGCCAAGGCTTGGCAAAATCCGCCACCTGTTGGGAATGGATCGGACGAGTCAGGTCATCGGCCAGTCGGGGGCCTTTCTGACGCGCTGAACGCGCCAGTCGTGCCGCCGCGCTCGACCGTCCCGTGCTGGTCATCGGCGAGCGGGGACCGGCAAGGAACTGGTGGCCGAGCGTCTCCACCGCCTGAGCGGACGCTGGACCAGCCGCTGGTCGTGATGAACTGCGCGGCGCCCCTGAGACGCTGATCGAGGCCGAGTTGTTCGGGCATGAGGCGGGCGCTTTACCGGCGCGACCAAGGCGCGGGCCGGGCGATTCGAGGAAGCGAGTGGCGGCACGCTGTTCCTCGACGAACTGGGTACGTTGTCGATGGCGGCGCAGGACCGGCTGCCCGCGCGGTCGAATATGGCGAGGTGACCCGGATCGGCTCGTCGCGGCCCCTTTGCGGGTCGATGTCCGTATCGTCGCGGCGACCAACGAGCATCTGCCCGACAAGGTCGCCGCGCATCAGTTCCGCGCCGACCTGCTCGACCGGCTCTGTTTCGAGGTCGTCACCTTTGCCGCCGCTTCGCGCGCGCAAGAGCGATATCATGCTGCTCGCCAATCATTTCGGGCGGCGCATGGCGGCGGAGATCGGCTGGGAAAGCTGGCCGGGTTTCGGTCCGGCGGCAACCGACGCGCTGATGGAGCATCGCTGGCCGGCAATGTCCGCGAACTGCGCAACGTCGTCGAGCGCGCCGTCTATCGTTGGGATCGCGAGGGGCCGGTCGATGCGATCGAGATCGATCCCTTCCGCTCGCCCTATCGCCCGCAAGGCCAGCTCGCCGGCAGCGGCCAAGAGCGAGAGCCCGGGGCAGGGGAGTGCGCCGGCGCCCGCGACCAATGATGGCGACGAGGTGGCGGCCTGCGATGGGGCCCTTCCGACTTCAAGTCGCGCGTCGCCCGGTTCGAACGCGAGCTGCTGACCCGTGCCCCGCCGAGAACCGCTTCAACCAGCGGACCACCGCCGAGGCCCCGGACTGAGTTACGACCAGCTTCGTCACGCGCTTCGTCGCCATGATCTGATCGGAACGGTTGCGTAACCCGTTCGGGGAGCCATTTGAGGCGCCCGGCGTTGCCACAGGCAAACCCAAAAGGAGCACTTACGATGGCTTTCGAACTGCCGCCCCTTCCGTACGACTATGACGCGCTGGAGCCGGTCATCTCCAAGAGACGATGACCTTCCACCACGACAAGCATCATGCGGCCTATACCAACAAGCTGAACGAGGCGGTCGCGGCGGATGCGTCGCTTCAGGGCAAGTCGATCGAGGACATCCTCGCCACCATCTCGTCGGCACCGGCGGTCGTCCGCAACAATGGCGGCGGCTTCTGAATCAAGGACTTCTTCTGGAAGATCGCGACCAAGCCCGGCACGACCCAGCCCTCGGGCAAGCTTCGCCGAGGCGATCGAGGCGTTCGGCGGTCTCGACAAGCTGAAGGATGAGTTCAACACCAAGGGCGCGGGCCAGTTCGGTTCGGGCTGGGCCCGGTCATCGCGGATGCCGAGGGCAAGCTGAAGGTCACCTCGACCCCGAACCAGATAACCCCTGATGGACGTCGTCGCCGACAAGGGCACGCTGATCCCGGTAACGACGTGGGAGCACGCCTATTACCTGACCCAGGCGAACGACCGTCCGGCTATCTGAAGGCCCGGTGGACGTGGTGAACTGGGACGAGGCCGGTCGCCGGTACGAGGCCGCGGTGGCGTAATCCCGTCACATCCGTTTCGGATATGGGAAAGGGCGGCCCTGATGGGTCGCCCTTTTTCGTTTCTTTGAGGCAAGATGATTGCCGGAATTTCCAAGCGGTTACGATTGATCGACATGATCGCCAGCACTTTGGCGCCATGAAAAGAACAAATGCATTATTTAATCGGAATAGTGAGCCGACTTTCCAGCAGGTGAAAATAATTTATCCCGCCGATAATGATGAAATGAGTCGAACATAGAAAAGTCGTTGCTGGCGGAGGGTCAAGGTGGCGATCGAAATCGGAATTTCTGTTCGCGGCGGGATCGTAAGCTGCGTTGTGGCCCTTTGCGCTTCCTTGATCATGGCGCACCCCGCCCGGGCCGAGTTCGATGCGCCGATTGCCAAGGCAAATGCCGCGAGCACCGTGGTGGCGGAAAAATCTTCGGTCGCTGACGGAGAGGCCAATGAGGCATCGGACGACATAGGGGGGGACAAGACGATCATCGTCAACGGCCGGCGTCTGCCCCTGTGCGGAGGCGCCGAAATGGGCGATCTGCTCGGTCATCAGCCGTCTTCCGGCCTATTCCCTGATCCTGCGCACCGCACCGGGAGCGATGCCGCCCGTGATCCAGCCCACGCGCATGCCCCGCAACCCCGACTATAAGGCACCCCGAAGGTTCCGGTCGGTTCGCCGCCGCCTGTCTTGGGCAAGACCCGTTTCGGCATGACGATGGGCGGTGATATCGCGCTACCGGGCGGCGACCCGTCCGTGGCGATCGAGGCGGGGGCGCTGCCGGGCGGGTTCGAAGCGACACAGCAGGGGGCCTACGCGACGGGCTGCAAAGAGCGCGATCCTATGGCTGGCGCGTTGTCGGCCGATCATGCGGCGGCGCTGAACTGTCTGCAGATGTTTTGCGGCGCGAGCGAATTGACGCAGGCGCCCCGCATGTCGGCGACGGCGCGCGATCCGTACACGGCCGCCGCCGAATATGCGATGCGCGATACCTCGCCGCCCAAGGGTTCGCCCTGTTCGATCAGGGGCGCTGCGGAGGCATTGCCCTGTTTCCGGATGCGGTACGTCGGCTCACCGATCATAATGGCGGCGATGAGGCGGCGCTGTTTGTCGCCAAATTGCTGCTGGCGGGCTTTGGCGACGGTGATGAGAATGATCGCGCGATAAAGTCGCTGAAACGCGCGGCGCTGACCAATTATGTCGAGCGGCTGCACTGACCGGTTTTCGATCCGGACAATCCTGAAATGAACACCGCCTCGGGCGAAGCGGCCATGATGCTGGGGGCGATCATCGTCAAGGTCTGTACGGGACCAAGGCCGATATGGACGAGGCATGCCGCTGGTACTGGCGCGCGGCCTTTGTCGGCCACGTCGCCGCCTACAAGGGCCCCGGGATATCCAATATTTTCGGGCTGGCATTCCACGCGATCCCAAGGCGGCATTCGCCAATTATCAGCGTGGGGCCAAGCGTCACCTTGCTGCGGCGCAGGCGGCGCTCGGCGATATGCTGGAACATGGCGATGACGGGGTGGCGGCCGATCTACCCACAGCGATTGCCCGGTATCGCGAGGCGGTGAAACATGGCGATCCGGATGCCGCCTATGCGCTCGCCCATGTTTGGACAGCGGGCGCGGCGTGCCGCTCGATCGCGAGGCGTGGCGTTCGGTCTGTACCGCCGTGCGGCGCTCAGGGATCGGCCGAAGCGCGCGTCGCAGTCGGGACCTATTATCGACGGAACCTTCGTCGCGCGGGACGAAGCGATGGCGCGGCGTTGGTTCCGAACTGGCGTCGCGCGATGGCGATCCTGACGGGATGTTCAACTATGCCGCGCTGCTGGCCAATGGCCGGGGCGGTGACCGTGATCTGCCGCGCGCCCGGCTGGCTGACGCGCGCCGCCGCCCGTGGCAATGCCGAGGCCCCCTGCGGCGATCACGGCGGTCGAGGCCCGGATGACATCGACCGAGAAGGCCGCCGCTACGGAGATCAGCCAGCAGCTTTAATTCGAGCGGGCTGGGCCTTCGCCATTGTCTCGCAACGCTCACAATGACGTGCCTACCCCATGTGAGCGGCGGCGAGGCCGACGCCGAGTGCCAGCCTTTACTCCACCGGCGGTTCGTCGATCTTCACGGCTTCCGCGTTCAGCCCATGCTTCAGCAACATCGGGATGTTGGCGATGGCAAAGCCGATGGTCAGCGGCATCGCGCCCCACAGCTTGAACCCGACCCAGAAATCCTGTGTCGAATGGCGCCAGACCACCTCGTTCAGCACCGCCATGAAGGCGAAGAAGATCGCCCAGTTGCGTGTCAGCTTGCGCCAGCCGACCGGGGTCAGGCCCGAATAGACGCTGCCCAGCACCATCTGGATCAGCGGTCGTCCCGTGACCAAGCCGAAGAACAGCAACGCCGAGAACATGGCATAGACGATGGTCGGCTTCATCTTGATGAAGCGCCCGTCGAAATAGAGGGTCAGGCCGCCGAACACGACGACCAGCGCACCCGACAGCCACAGCATCGGCGATATGCGCCCCCAGCTTCACCCGACTGACGATCATCGCGATCACCGTGGCGACCATGAACGCCGCCGTCGCCACCAGCACGCGCGTCAGTGCCCCCATCGGGGCGAGGAAATTGACGGCGAAGAAGAGGACCAGCGGGCCATATTCGATCCCGGCCTTCAGCGCGGCGCCCGCTTCCTTCTGGGGACTTCCTTCTGCGGGGCGTTCACTTCCCTCCCTTCGATGCCGGCGATGATCCGGCTGACCTCATTGGCGTCGAACGGACGCAGGTCGGTCATGCCCTCACCGACACCGATGGCATGGATGGGCAGGCCATATTTCCGCCGCCGCGACCAGCACGCCGCCGCGCGGTGCCGTCCAGCTTGGTCATGACCGACCCGGTGACGCCCGCGACGTCCTTGAACACCTCGATCTGGTTGAGCGCATTCTGGCCCGTCGTCGCGTCGAGCACCAGCAGGATGTCGTGCGGCGCCTCGGTTCAGGCGGCCGAGCACGCGGCGGATCTTGGACAGCCTGTCCATCAGCTCGCGCTTGTTCTGAAGGCGCCGGCGGTGTCGACGATCAGCACGTCGACGCCGGTCGCGGTCGCCTGCTTCACCGCCTCATAGACGATGCCCGCCGCGTCGCCGCCTTCCTTGCCCGATACGATCGGCACGCCGACCCGCTCGGCCCAGTGGCGAGCTGGCCGATCGCGGCGGCGCGGAAGGTGTCGCCCGCCGCCAGCATGACGCCGTAATCCTGCTCCATGAACAGATGGGCCAGCTTGGCGATGGTCGTCGTCTTGCCCGAGCCGTTGACGCCGATGACCGATCACCTGCGGCCGGGGAAAGGCGTCGATCTCCAGCGGGTGGCGACCCTGGCCAGCGCCTTCTCCACCTCCTCGGCGACGACCGGGCGAATGCCCAGTGTCTTCCATGTTCCGCTCGAAGCTGCCTTCCGACAGGCGCGTGCGGATATGACCGGCGGTTTCGGGGGCCGAGGTCGGAAGCGATCAGCGCTTCCTCGATCTCGTCGAGCGTATCCTCTCGTCTAGCCGCGCGGTACCCGTGCCGGCGAGATTGCCGACCAGCCGGTCGGAGGTGCGACGGAAACCGCCGAGCAGCTTTTCGTGCGAGGAGAAGAACTCATACCAATTGTCCGATCAGATGGGTTTCGGTCGCCGCCGTGACCCGAACGCGGGCGATGCGGCCCGGTTCGGTTGGGGGGAAAAATGGATGTCTGCAAGTCGGGCGCGTGGCCGCGCGTGCCCAGCCGTTCGACCAGTACGTCACGCGTCCCGCCGATCTGGGCCGCCAGCCAGTCGCGGCGGCGGCGCGCGGCCGCCTCGCGAAGCTTTCGCGGCGCGCTCGCGGCGAAGAGGATGGGGCACTTGCGGCATTCGGGCGGCGGGCGTGCCGTCGCGCGCCGAATAGGGGAAGATATGGGCGTGCACGATCCGGCAATCGTCGATCAGCGCCAGCGTGTCGGCCGCCATCGCGTCATCCTCGGTCGGGAACCCGCGATCAGGTCGGCGCCAATCGCGATCTCGGGCCGCGCGCTCAACATGCGCTCGACGATCGCTACCGATTGGGCACGGCTGTGGCGGCGCTTCATTCGCTTGAGGATCAGGTCGTTGCCCGCCTGAAGCGACAGATGAAGGTGCGGCATCACCCGCGGCTCGCCCGTCACCAGCTCGAACAGCCGGTCGTCGATCTCGATCGAATCGAGCGAGGACAGGCGCAGCCGGGGCAGGGCGGGGACATGGGTCGATACGCTCGACCAGCAACCCGAGGCCCGCTGGCCCGGCAGGTCATGGCCATAGCTGGTGAGATCGACGCCGGTCAGCACCACCTCCCCGGTGCCCCAGCTCGACCGCGCGCGCGATGCGTTCGATCACCAACCCGGCGGGCACCGAGCGGCTGGGCCCGCGCCCGGTCGGGATGATGCAGAAGGTACAGGCATGGTCACAGCCATTCTGGACTTCGACGAACGCCCGCGCATGGCCGGCAAAGGCGGAGACCAGATGCGGTGCGGTTTCGACCACGCGCGACAGGTCGGCGACCAGCATCGGTTCGGTCGAGGCCCAGCTTTCGGGGCGCAGCTTGTCGGCATTGCCCAACACGCGGGCGACCTCGGGCATGGCGGCGAAGCTGGTGGGATCGATCTGCGCCGCGCAGCCTGTCACGACGATCTGGGCATCGGACGCGCCTTGGCCGCGCGCGGCGGATCGCGGCGCGGGTCTGCTTCACCGCTTCGTTGGTGACGGCGCAGCTATTGACGACGACCATATCCTCCCGGCCCGCGGCCAGCGCGCGGATCGTTTCTGCTTTCGGCGATGTTGAGGCGACAGCCCAGACTGATGATCTCGGCCCGGAAGGGGACGACATGGTTGCTGATCTAGGGATGGATGAACGACGTGTCCACGCGGAGGCGCGGGACATATTGGACTTCTGGTTCTCCCCGCACCCGAAAAGCATTTCGCCAGGACGATGCGCTCGACCGTGATCGCCGAGCAGTTCGGTACGCTTCGTGATCAGGTGCTGGCGACCGAAGCGATGGGCTGGCGCGACGATCCCGATACGCTGCTGGCCGCGATCCTGCTGCTCGACAGTTTTCGCGCAATTTGCACCGGGATCTGGCGCAGGCTTACGCCGCCGACCCGCTGGCGTTGGAGCTTTGCTCGGCGGCGATCGATGCGGATGGGAGTATCGCTATCCGCCCGAGCGGTTGGTCTTTGTCTATATGCCGCTGATGCATGCCGAGTCGCGCGCGATGCAGGATTTGAGCGTCGCCAAATTCGCCGAACTAGGCCGCGAGGAAAATCTGTCCTTCGCCCGCGATCATCGCGATGTCATCCGGCGCCATGGCCGTTATCCCAGCCGCAATGCCGTGCTGGGCCGGACCTCCACGCCCGAAGAACAGGAGTATCTCAGCCGGCCAGACGCGGGATGGTAGGGAAGGGGACGATGAGGCACTCCCCGCCAGCAACCGCTTTTCCGCCGGAGCTGACGGACCTGCCCCAGATCCATGGGTGCCCCGTAAAACGGCCCCTGACCATGGGCGCAACCGATGATGCGCAGCCGCTCTTGGTCTCGGCATCGCGCAGGCCCTGGCGGCGATGGGCAGGTTCAGATTGTCGCCCAGTTGGACGATGGCGGTCACGATCTTCATCACCCGGGATCGGCTGCCATATCGCCGATGAAGTCGGGGTCAATCCGCACCCGATCGAACGGCAAGGCACGTAAGGCGCGCGCTGGAATAGCCGCTGCCGAATTCGTCCAGCGCCGATGCCCCGGTTCTTCAGGCTGACGACGATCGACTGGGCCAGCGCCATATTGGCAAACAGGGCGTTCTCGGTGATCTCGACCTCCAACCGATGGGCGGGGAAGCCGCATTCGGTCAGCGTCTTGATGATCTTCTGCGCCAGCCGTGCATCATGGAACTGCGCGGTGGTCAACGGAAAGGAGAGGGTCAGCGACGGATCCCAGTCGCGCGCGGCGGCCATCGCCTGTCGCATCAGCGCTAGCGAGACGTCGCCGGACAGGCCGGAGGCTTCGGCAACCGGCATGAACCGTTCGGCCGTCATCGCCCCTGGATGGGATGGTCCCAATGCGCCAGAACCTCGAACCCGGTCAGCCGGGCATTGCCCAGATCGACCGGGGTTCGAAGCGCGGTTGGATATCGCCATTGGTCAGGGCGGCACGCAGGTCGCTGACAATCATGT